CTCCACATCTGGTATTTCCAGCATCATCTCCAGCTGAGCCAAGAACTTCTTCCCTCAGGCAGGGAATATCCTCCTCAGCCTTTGTTATAATTAGGATGGGTCTAGTACAAGAGGGCAGATGAGGGCATACTAGCTCAGGCTCAGTGCTGACCACAATGCACTGTTCAGTCTGGTTTTGTGAAGAGCTGCTGTGCAGAAGTCTGCTATGTGCCATACCAAACATCCCTCATCATCCGAGCATCCCCACTACCAGCACACAGAACAATCGAGATTCCTGTTATAGGCAATAACAAAGTAAGTTGTCCTGACGCATTGGCCTGTCCACATGAATTTGTGCATGAAGCGACTGATGGTTGTATAAAAATAATAATGTGTGTGTATGAGGAGAGCAGCGTAAGAACGCACGAGTGGCCTTTTGTTACTATGCGCCGCCATCTAGTGGTTACTAATTGTTGTCTGCAATCGTCAGAAAAGAACTGTGCTGCTGTTCTTTACCGCTGGTGAGTAAAGAGACAGAGAGAAAGAGGATGCACAGGCAAGAAAATTCCTTTCCTCCTTGTCCAATGCATAAGCATTAGCCTAGAAGTGTGACATGGAGAGTCACACATGGAAAGTGTGACATAACTTTTTGGCTATGGGTAGTCTTTCTAAAAAGGTAAGTTGGTAAGGTAAGTTGGTAAGGTGTGTATGGGCACTGAAGTCCCACCAATACCACAAGTAATTCCAGTTCGAAATGGCAACAGTTATATTGCTCCTTGTGTTAGTCCAGTGTGTATGTGCTTACATACCTATAGAAATCCCATACCCAAACAACTTCCTGGTATACTTTTGGCTTCTTTTTCTGTAGAAATCTATTCACACATGACAGTATATGGGTTTACTTCCTAAATAAACTATTTTGCCACTTATTTTCTAAGAAAAAAAAAAAAAGTTATTTTAGCATTTCTTTGTGTCAGAGAAATGCTGAATGGTCTTAAAGGAATGCATAAAAACTGAAACAAACAGAAAGAGCACACGTATGTAAGGTTTTATTTTACTGATTTGCATATCCCCAGACAGGATGTATGGGAATACTTACTTAATGTTTAGCTAATAGTCAAATTATAATAAAAAGGAGTTGCACAAGAAACTGCAAAAATGTTTACACATTGATCTAATTCATATCACCAGCTGCATACTAGTAAAGCTTGTCAGTCTGTGCAGTAGACCTCAGTAGCAGTTTCTACTGCCTGACAAATTACAGTCACAAGGTACGAGAATCCAGCTAGTTTCCCATTTCAGTTGTATCTTCTCCCTCCTCCTCCCAGGAGGCTGCCGGCTGACCCATGGTCTGGGGCAGGCAGCACCAAGCACACCACCCTCACCTCCCCTGCACTCAGTAAACAGTTGTCCATGTGCAGTGCAGAGCATGATGGAGTGAGGAATGCACTTATTGCAGCAAGAGGAAAGAAAAAGCAGTTTTGGTCACTCAGACATAGGTCCCCCACTACTACTCCGCCTGTGTGCTGTGTGAGCTATTTTGGGGTCCTGTGTAGCTGAAACACCACACAGCAATGTGTGAAAGGAGGCAGGACTCCTCCTCCATCATTTAGTGGTGCTTGCCTTAACCAGGGAGACACGTTGCAGTCCAGCCCTTATATTTTCAAATTAAAACTAAAACAGTGTAAATCTCTGAGAATACACACATAGGCACCTGTGTTTGTATTCTTACGCTGATACAGCTTGCTCTGCTTTGTGTGGCAACCTGCTTGCAGAAGCAAACGAGTACATTAATATGAACCATGCACAAATGAGCCAAATCTTATGTCAGTAGGTTATACACACATCTTGAAAATAAATCCTCCAGGCAGGCTTTATTAACATGGGAGAACGCACGAATTTGTACAGGTTTGTGAGAAGAATGTAGAGACCTAAGGCGGAAGAAGTTTTCCAACTCCCTGGTATGGCCTCCTGTATCACACCAGCAGCGTGTCTCACCACCAGCCTTCGCTTTGCAGGTATCTGAGGGTGAGTATTACTAAGCCTTGCAGGAAGGCAATGAGCTTGTCCTGCTGAGCCCACACCCCCATGGATCAGGCATATTTCTGCCTGATATTTAACATATTTAACTTTATTTAACACTGGTTAAGTTGTGGGCCCAGGAGATTGTGCTTCACCAGGAAGATGGAGGTGCACCACTGCCCGGCCGAGAAACAGCTACCAGGCATCCAGCTACCACATGGCTCCACAACAGGACCCTTCCAGCCTGATCCTGTCTGCAGGCTAGCCCTTCACAGAAAAAATCCACCAGCTCTGCTGTCTTCTGGCCCCTACGAGCCCTCCAGCCCGGGAGAAGTTCACAAGCTCCGGGTGGCAGACAGCTCACAGGCCTCCACCAGCGCTGCGTTTGCTCTGCATTTGCCTCGTTTATGAGGCGGGACCGGCTGGCACGGCCCTGCCCGGCCCAGAGCCCCCCAGCCCGAAGCCCCCCAGCCCCGAGACCCCCGGCCCGGAGCCCCCCGGCCCTGCCCGGCCCCGGCTCCAGGAGCCGCCAGGGGGCGGGCGCGGGCAGCGCGGCGGGGCCGTCCCCGGCCTCCTTCCCCCCGGGGACAGGAGCGCCCTGTGGCAGGCCCTGCCCTTGTGTGGGGGCAGCTTTCTTCTGCCTGCAAGGAGAGGTTTCCTGACCGGGGAAGCCAGTCGTGTCCTCGGTCTGGGAGCAGGCAGGTGCTGTGCTGTCCCTCTGCCACGGCACGGTTTGGTATCAAGGGCATCTGGCCACCGCCCGCATCTGTTTTTTGCAAGCAGCCCTTCCTGACTTTTTTTTTCATCCCTGGGGTCTCATACTTTCGCCAGAAGGATCCTGCCCTTATCACTTGTAAAGAAATAAGCACGAAATGAGAGCAATTATCTGACATGGAAAATAAAAAGTGTCATTTTGCATGGCAAAATCTCTCTCCCGGTTTAGTAATCGCCTCCACAAAGCCCCAAAGTGGCACTCGCTTCAGTCTGTGGCATTCAAACATGAGCTAAGTGCCTCCCAGGGCTGCCCCAAGGTGGCTTTGTGCCTTCCCTATTGCACAGCATGTCTCTGGAGAACCAGCACGGAGGGCTCCATGCTGGGACCCAAAGCCATTGTTCCTGTTGTAGACATAACCATCAGAATTAAGGTTGGCTGAGACACCCTCCTAAAGCAAGCAAGACCTTGCGTGGAGAAAAATAGTTCAGATAACCGGTAAATGACTGATTTTACTTTGTTCAGGAATTAGCTGGAGCACTGTGGGTTTAGCAGAGACCCTGTTATTTCATGCAGTGTAAGCCCTCAGGCTCTCTGTCATATGTTTCTGAAGGTAAAGGAACTAATCCAGATTTTTTGCCAAATTCCAGTCTGGGTGTCTAATTCAGCCTACCAGAAGTTCTCCTTCAGGTTGAGGTTGCTGGTAATGCAACGCACAGGTCCTTTCCAAGCAGCCATGCACTGCTGTGGCATGCTGTAAATCAGCTCCTTTATTAGAAACTGGGGAGTGCAGAGAGGTGAGAAATGAATTACTGTACAAAGGGATATAGTGGATTCTTTTGAAAGAAAACAGTTACAGCGGACACATTTCTGTAACTTGTTTTCCAAGAGATGTGCTGATACAACATAATCACCCCGGTGCCCAGTGCAGGCCAACCCCGCTCTTTTCCTTCCAGGTGCAACTCCAGAGTCACCACAGCCAGAAAAAAAAAGAGGCAATCAAAGAGTATTTGGGTGCAAAATTGCAACTACTTTAATAATCCCTTTGATCTGGTTCTCTTTCTGCGTAGGCTGAGGCCGTGTGCTGTGAATACAGCTTCAACAAAAGACAGAAACTAATCTCAAATTGTTCATCCACTTTATCTTTTCCTCCGTGCGCGAACGTGCCTAACCAATTTGAGGAGACAGCAGCTTCCATCAAGTATAGAGTCATGGGTAATTCCCTCGGCACAAAACAGCTTAGCAGTTGGAGAGTTTTACATGATTTATGACCTTCCGTGCATGCAGGGAGGCAGGAAGGGCAGATTGGCAGGCGCTGTCTGGTTGAAACCACCCCAGTTTGGGTGGAGCAGGCTTCTCACAGCTCCAGCTGACAGTTTCACTCTGTCACCAGGCCAGGGGAAGCAAATTAAACTGCCTGGAGTTGCTACAATTAGACATTAATCTCTGCCTCGCTGCTGATTAACTCCTTAATGTCACCCTACCCACCAAACAATTTGTTACTCAGCCATAGACATGAATCTCTAGCAGCTTACTGCCCCTCCTGCATAGGTGCAAGCAGCGACTCTTCTTCCCAAATCCACAGCTTTTGTTGTGGAGTTAGCTCACATTGTACTATCTCCTCAGCCCCAGGCCCTCCCACCAGCAGGGCTAGCACAACGCTGGTCCAGGCAGGAGCAGCAGCTGGAGAAAATGCCTGCTGCAGGAGAAAGGGAACATTTAAAGAATGCATCTGAGTGTGATGGGAACTCCTGAGATGGTTCTTAAAGTGCCTTTTAGAAAAAAAGGTAGTGCCTGTCAGAGTACTGATGACAATCTATATTTCCTCTGTGTCTTCAGGAGGCCTGAAGCTGATTCCCTAAGCAACAGATAATCAAAATACTGTTATAATGTTGGATGGGAGCCAGAATGCATCTGTGCAAGCTGAAATTATATGGTTATATATGATTAATGTTGGTCTGGCTTTGGTTCATATAGGCAATGCTTTATCCCTAACACAGAGGGCACGACCTGTCAGGTATTTTGGGCCATTATTCTAATATCTATAATCCCTTGGTCTTTCAGTATATTTATTCCTGCAGCTTCCTCATAAACAGACTATTCCCCCCTCCCTCTTCAACATTGGGCTTGAATATGGAGATCTTGGAAAGTCACAAAGGTTTCTAGATGCCACAGGTGCCTTGTTTTTTAGCATACACCAGAGCAGAGTAATCACAAGGCCATGGGAGCCCTGGGTTCAGCTGCATCCCATAAAAATGTAGCTATATCCCCTCCCCTTCCCTCAGTTGGAGACCTGTGGCTTCACATCTCACTGGGCTAGAGACAGCACAGTGGTGAACTACCTCATGTAGTAGGTAAGAGAGAATATGTGGGGAAATGGATTGCAGCTCCCTCTGTGACATATGTTCACGAATGTATAAAGGTTCTTAAACATGTAACCAGTACTTTGAGAAAAGGCAGAATCTCAGGTCTCCCTTCAGGTGCTGTGTGCTAATCTCTGAGCTCAAGGCAACAATCCTTGTGATCTCTTGCTTTGCTCTTGTACTTACCTTTTCCTCTGCAGTGGATAAAAACACATTTATCAGCCCTAAAGATTATCTAACATTCCAAAAGAGGTAGTTTTTAAGACTTGGACTTGCTTTCAAACGCTTCATATCTTGCATCCTTAACAGTATAGCTGTCCTTTACAGTTTTACCTAAAGCAACTTCCCAAGGTGACACGGGGCATGAAAGGCAGGCAACAATGAACTTTTCTTTTTCTCGTTCCTCTGAAACCTAGGCTAGGTGTCTGGCTGTGCCTCTTTTCTCATAATTTTCTGAGGACAGAATAATATGTATTTCAAGACCATGAGACCCCCTGCTCAGTGCGTTGCTGAAGGTTTGGGATGGTACAGTGCTGCAGTCAGGATGCAGCAGGTACTAAGGGTGGGCACAGGGGCTGGGCAGTGGGGGCAGAACTGCATCAACAGGTAGTGGAAGAGATGCAAAGCACTCTGCAGCCTTAGTGGGCATTTCATCAGCATTCTCCTAATTTCCTGGTTAGTGCCCTTGAATCGTGCTTCCTTCTCAACTAATTCTAATTTTTCCTTTTGTTTTTTTCACCTTAGTGACACTGAATTACATCAGCTGCTTTTCTTCCTCTGGCAATTAGTGCAGCTTAGTCACTCCTATTGAGCATGACGCCCTACCAGCACCTAAAGGACCCTGCTTGTTAGCAGCACCAATCCGGCCACATCACTGTTTGTGTGTTTGTTCCCTTACAGGTCATTCTCCCCCCACATTCATACACAGCACCTTCTGCATCAGCAGGTTTGGAAAACTAAACCTTCTCTTGTCTACTGAATAAAAGCAGGTTGCTAAGCTGCTCTGTAGCTTTTACCCCCCAAGAGCTTAACAGCTCTAAACATGTAGACAGTGCCACTGCAATGTGACACTGAAGAGGGAAGTGGTGGTGCCACCTGCTGCACAGACACGCAGACCTTGTGAGCAAAGCAGACATATGCCCACCAAGTGATGACAGAATTTGGCCAGCCCATTAAATATTTCACTGTAAACAACTTGAAACCAGAACTGGGAAACTGAGCTTTGGTTTCAATCTGAGTTTCCTGAACTTTAGAGCAGAGACAAAAGTTTCAGAGGATGCCTGGAGGAGTGTATTTCCATAAATTGTTCTGTCCAAACAGTCAGCTCATACATCAAAGCTCTGTAAATTTGGTCTGCTTCTGGCTGAATCAGCTGAGGTTTTGCCGTGGGCTTGTGTGTGGACGACATGAGACCCAGTTAAAACATATTACTCACAGTATCTCTGTTTGCAGTTTTTAGCCCTGTGGTAAATTTCAGCCTCCTTGCTCACCGTGTTCACATTTGAAAACCCTCAGGTGGTGGAACCTGCAGCCTGGGCATGGGCAGCTACAACCACCTGTTACCACAGGAAGCAGAGAAGCTGATACAGTCACTACAACATATTCTCCATCTTCTCCTATGCAGAGTAAGAAGTGATTTTTTTTTACATACAAGGAATCAAACCTATCTTACACGGCTATGAAATTTGAACTATTTACCAAACTTGCTTCTTATGTTCAAACTCATCATCCCATAAAGTCTTCTAGATCCCGTACAAAATCTCAGTGTAAACTATTTTGGGCATCTGTCCATGAGTAACAGGTGAAACTTCTAAGACCATCAAACCTGACGTCGACAGCTCTTCCTTCCAATACTTTTATAACTACCACGTTCAGCCAGAGCTGCCCACTAAGTGAACAAACCAAGGGCACATGCTTAGTGTTTACCAAGTAATCCATAACAGGGATTACAATGTCCTTACCGCAAAAGCTAATTCTCTAGAACTGAAATAAAGAGAAGTCAACATGGGTGCTACTAATACAGAAAGCTAAGGTTACTTTCTAAGTCACACAACTGGAACGAGTGTAACTGTAAAAAAATTACCAGCCGAGACATCAAAAGCTAAATTGTGGTCAGTGGCTGGGCTTTAGCTGGGAGGACTTACTGATCAATTTTGAAAGTTATAAATTTATGTAACAAATTGTTATTTGTCCTATGTAATAAATAACTTCTTATTTGCACAGTGCTGTTAAAAATGTGAACTCCTTCCTCCTGCCCACAGACCACGGCTTGCACTACCAACATTGTTTGCCAAGCAAGTGGTGATGTAAAGAAAGTGAAATGTCCAAAGCATACCATCAACAGCTCAAGGTTTACTTTAGAAGCTACTGTCCTGGGTGTCTTATTCAGTCTGACAAAGCAGACTGCCTTTTCTAGAGCAAGTGAAACAGATAAAATCCTTGAGATTCTTGTGAGATATTTTTAAGAGAACCCATGAAGGTCCTAACACTTTTCTACCTGGGAGATAAACTTGCCTGCTTCTAGATGATTAATAAATATGAGTCCATTATGCCTTCTGATAAAATAAAAATAAATAAATCCATACAAAACTAATTATTATTTACTTGGGTTTGCTTAGGATAAACTTCAAAGAACTCAAGGGCATGATATGTTGCATCTGAACTTATGACATGCTTCCTGGTGAAATTACATTGATAATAGTGATTGTCTTTTGTCTATTTTGTGCCATGAAAGGAAAATTCTACACAAAGTGGGATAGGCATTCAGATATATATCTATTAGAGCTGCAGCAGGTTCCCTTTTGAGCCTGTTTAAAAACAGATTAGTAGAGGAAGGTTGTTTGTACAGATATCAGGTAGTGGTAGTGCCAATAAGTACTGGTAGCATTTCTGAATGGTGCAGTCAAATCTTCCTGTTTTGCACACTGTCCTCCATTTATTCCACTACGCGTGGCAGGATGGACTGAAGTTTGTGTTTTGTTTTGTTTTTTCCTTTTTGGGGAGCGGATAGCAAACTCCAGCCATATGACTGTCTTTTTTTCTAGATCTGCCTGGTGGAGGTCTAACTCAGCAGAGTATAAAGCAAAGACCTGAAGTGAAGAGCTCCTGTCTCAGACAAGAAAATGACTATGGGTTTAACTTAGTTAAATGATGGGGGGTTGACTCCATAAAACAGGATTATGTCATCCATACAGGGAGGGGATGTTAATATTTATACATTAGTTTACTGGGATAGAAAAGCAGATGTGAACCCACCGTTTGAACTGTCTTCCATAAAATGGAATGAGAGGGGATTTTGCCATTCACTTTCACTAGGAGCAGGCTTACAGGAAGCTGCAGAGTCACAAATATGGAAAATTTTGCATGCTGAGACACAGGTGCTTCCTAGATTCCTGTGCTTCCTAGATGCCTGGTTGGCTTTCTTGGCCTGGCCGATGGGGAGAAACAAGCCTTTTCAGTTCTTGCTTTATTTCACAGACCTTCTGTGCCCGAGACCTGCTGGAGATCACGAAGGAGGCCTCCAGCAGGCTCCCCACACCACGAGTGGCAGTCGTTCTTCCTCCATTGCAGTCACCAGTCCCAGAGCATCGCCCCAAGCTTGTTCTGGGGCAGGAGATCCTTAGCCAGTGCAGGTTTCTCTAGGTCAGGAGCTCTTGCACGGGTGCCTGGTCATGACAGCAAAGCATTGAGTGATATGAGCCCACATCTGCATGGGAGCTCAGAATCAAGACAACCACAATTCAGCAGCACAGAAAATGTGCACTATAGCCATAAATTCTGAGCTATGCTTTAGCCCCAGCTTGAGATGATCCAAGGATTAGAACAGGCAAAGGTGGCTTGTTTGGATTTTTTTTTTATTTTATTATCATTATTAATAATCCATTGAGACAGTAAGCATTTAAATGGTTGGAAAAGTGATCTCACACTTCAGACAAATAAACTATAAAGGCTGAGTTTGGCACTTCTCAGACATTTTAATTCATTAAGAACATTCATGGCAGTGTCATGCAAGAAGCAAGACTAGTGATAAGAGCCTTAAAATCTGAGATTATTGAAAATGATATACAAAGTATCAGAAACTGAGATAAATGTACAGATAGGATAACCTATCTTAGATGTTTACACCAAAGTTGCTCAGGCTGGGCTCCCTTCATCCTCTGGGGAGGAACGCACAAGGAGATGATTTTCATCTTAGACTCTGACAACTGTAAAATGTCATCTGTAAAAGGAGGGTGCACTGCAGCAGCTATCTGAAACTTTGTCCCATAGAACCATTTCAGAGGCCTGTTTCTTAACTCTTCTTACTTTCACATTTCCTACAAACTTATTTCACATGAAATGCACCCAACTGTCAATTGTGGTGAGAGACACAGTCCCTCATTTTCCAACAGAAATCTTCCTTTTATTTAAGAACAGAGAAAGGTTAGTTCAGTTCAATCAGTCCTTCCCGCTGATGTTGCCAGTCAACTAGCTCCATTTGCTTTCTGGAACTAGCAGACAATCATTTTAATTTTGCCTCTCTGCTTGGAAGGAGAATTTTTTTGAAAATGACGGAACCCCAAAACCAAATATAGATCTGTTGTACTAAGTGTATTGGGAGCATTAATAAAAACAAATGTTAATGGTTTTGCTTGGTTAGTTTGGGATATTTGATGCCTGTGTCAAGACACACGTACAGTCCTAACCTCCTGCAGGTACCTTATGTGTCCACTTGAAAACCTTTTATGTACTGTAGTATTTTTATTTTTCCCTAGAGTGCAATGGATTATCACTTTGAAACCTGAGAAAACATTAATGGAGAATTATCTATACATTCAGGCTACACAGAAGTGCTTTATATTGACATTTTATACGGGTGTTTCTAAAAGACGTCCGTGGGGTGTTGAAGGAAGCAGGCAGAGAATGAAGCGGAGTTTGAAAAATAAATCACATGCATATATCCCCATGAAATGACCTTGGTGAAGACAAGGTAGGGCCCAGCTCATAGGCATGCATTTTGTGTTGCAAGAACAGGGCCTCTTCTGGGTCCAGGGACAGCAGAATAAATGAATCCCACCTACTTCTTTCTTCCACAGCTGTTCTGACAATACTGCAACTACCAAAGCACTTTCTAATTCATGTCACTGTTAATCAACAAAGATAAATAATGTCAATTAGAGGGAAGTAGAGACTTGGTAGGAAAAAGTCTGAAAGAATCCAAGTGACCATGCCTGAAACAAATTATGGAAAAATAACAGAAATGATTTTGAGGAAGATCAGCATAGGTATAACCTGTCTCCTAGCAGGAGACAATGACAAATAACAAGGGAGGTAGTAAGACATAAAACCAGAAGAGGATCAGCGACCATTGCCTGGTTCTCGAAAAGCAAGAGCTCTCATCATGTCTGATTTTATGAGACAAGGTTGTTCTTTCCAGTACTGACAGATGAAAAGACTTGAAAACCAGTCAGTTTCTAATGTGAATGAAAACACTTGTGGCTTAGGCAAGTTCAGTTTAGGGGAGGGCTTTTAGATTTTTGGGCTGAAACCCAGTCAAGGTTGATTTATGTTTAAAAATAAATGACAGGAAATAAGCTGTTCAAGTTACAGACCTATGACACCTGGAGTAAGGGATAAACTAGCAGTCTGTTCCTTCCATATTCCTACCTGGAGGATCACTGATAAGGAAATTTGCCTTCCAAGGAAAAGAGTCATCTGTGCTACAGCTCACAAATAAACCAAGCCTACACCAAATGTATCACTCTTTGCACAGCCTCTCACACTAGAACTATTTTTCATGGTTTGTTTTGCTTGTTTATTTACCAGTCTTAGCAAAATGTGCAATTTATCCAGTCCTGCCATTCATTATTTCCTGTTCTATTAGTAGAAAAAAAATATATATATATATACACGTATGTATATATATGTATATATATAATGTTAGCAATGGATTATAACACTTTCATTAATTTGTTCAAAGTTAAGAGAAAACTTGCTCAGGCAAATCCACTCCTTAGGTCTACATGTGTTTCTAAAACTGGTATCAAATCTCAGAGTTTCTAGTTCTGTCAGAAGCACTAAAATCCGTTGTTGCTCCAAGAGCTGCTGTCTGGATGCTGTTAGTCTCTGTGTTCACACTCATACAAACACTAGGACCCTGCTTTTGTTTAATAGAGGACATAGAAATCTTTGAGAAAAAAAAAAATCTATATAAATATAATTTGTTTTCTAGTTGCTTAATGAGGCTTTTGAGATCCCTGAGCTACTCTGGAAGCACAGGCAGGGTTTTTTCCTGTGCATGCTATCTGTTACATAGATCAGTCCCAGACCTGGACGGTGACAATGACAATGGGAGTGTTTTCCTAGCTCCGTACTGGCTTTGTTAGGCTCCTTTGTGGAGAGCTTTCTCTAAGCTGAGCCAAGCTGAGCCTGAACCAACACCCTCATGATTCATCGCCCCTCTGTGCAACAGAAACGTGTTGCTCAGCTACCAGAACAAACTAAGTTCTGCAGATGCAGCACCAAGGCAGCCACGCCATGGGCTGGGAGGAGCATCACCACGCCAGCACTGCTAATGCACGGATGAGTTGTCCTTGTGCCTTTGACACCGTGTAGGAACCCCTGTAATGACAATGAACGGAGGGGTGGTGCCACTGCTGCAGGTGACAGAGCGGTAGGCTTTGAAGCTTCTTGTGTATGAACTTGAACTTCCAACCAGGATTGCAAAAACAGTAAGAAAAAAAACCTAATGGTGGTGTTTTGTGCTAGAACATACACAACTCCCAAAGAGTTTGCAGATTGTACTGAATCAGCACAAAAGTTACCAAAAATATTCTGAGTATTTTGGATGTGTATCTACTGAAAGTATGTTGTACTGTCACGGTTGCTCTTTCTCTAAAGCATGGGAAAGTACATAAAGGACAGTATTGCTTCATCTGCCTCAATCACTGTGGCGTCTGACGTGAGCAGAATGGGGCTTGGGGACACTGAGGAGTAAGAGGAAGGAAGGAAAACAGCTTCTTCATTTCTTTCCAGATCAGGGTGGTGGTGTTGTCTTGGGTGTTGCCCTTGAGGAGTGGCTGCGTTGGCATCCCGAAGAACAACAGGCTCAGATTGCTTGCCAGTTTTAGCAATCAATTACAGCTAAATGCAAAGACATCTGCAGATCCAATGTTCCTTTCAAATATTCATCCTCCCAGCGGCTCTACAAGGTGCTGCTCTCCCTAGTTTACATGGAAACAGATGCTCAGAGGAGGTAAGTGGCACTGGAGAATTACAGCTCGTTGTTCCTGCACTCCCTGTGTTATTGGCCATGCTTTTCTGTTCATCCTTCACATCCACACACGCAGGCAGAATTGAGATTCCCACTCATGAAAATCACAGCTAAGCTCAACCCCCTTAGGTTTCCTTTCCTCCCAACCCTTCACGCACAACCAGCTGCTGAATAATGAAGACTTTCCTGAAGCAAATTTCTGCTATCAAAAGACTTCAGGAATAATCAGACAAGAGTGGATAAAAACGTGGGTTAATATTAACTGAAGTGTAATGCAGAATCTTGTCTTGCACATGTCTATTTGTCCTTTGCCCCTGCCTCCTCCTTGACTGAAAGATTTCCATTTAGTGCAGCTGCTGGTCATCATCAACCTTTCAGTCCAGGGTAGCTTGGAAAAGCTTTAGCACTAAATAACTGCTGAAGAGCTACGATCAAAAGCTTCGTGTCTTTCACGTGAGATGCGTCTGCTTGTGTATGGTGCAATAAAAGCTCTTACTAAATCAGTAACATTTCAGCTTAAATCATTTGCTCATTATATAGTTAATAGTCTTCCCTTTGCTTGTAATCAGTCTTGTACTACACAGGGAGCAAAGGAAATGTCACGGATGCCTCCCTAGACTGTGAAGCAGCAGCCAATACCTTACAACATACAGTCCTCAGTAATACCAGCTGCATTGGTCATGAAATGGTAAATGGTCATGTTGCAACTCCTCCAATACTGAAGACAGAGGCAGACTTATTCATCTGTGTCTCCATGTCCAGCGGTGCTGCCCCTGCAGTCTTGTAGCAAGACTTTTCATCAGGTAGGCCAAAGGAGGTTGATCTGCTAGGTCTCCTCTTCAAAGTGAGCAGCGGGGTCAGGGCTGGCCAAATGCAGCAAGCTCAGGGCCAGGCACCAAACGTTCCTCCAGAGCAGGCGTGGGATGAGGAGGAGGTTTGAACCTGCCATTTGTTCAGATCCTTTCTCATTTTTTTGGTCCCCAGTCCATCCCGCCTGCCTCCTGGAGGTGCTCAGAGAGGACTTGAGTCTTCCTTTTTCCCATCCCCTGCTTAGTGGGTCTTTCTCTTTCTAAATCTGGTCTTGCACTGAGATGTGCCATGAGAGGTCACACCCGTCAGCCACACACCAAGATATGATGCCTACATAGCTTTGCTCAGGCAGGCAAGGACACATAGGATTTTAATGGGCTATGCCAAAAAGGTATTCCTGAATATTTGGTAGATATATGCATAATATTCAAGTGGAAGAGGACATAATTACAGAAAATCCCAAATTTTAAAGACATATTTATGTAACTCTCCATGGTGCCTGTGGCCCTTACATCCAATACTGGTTCTTACCCAAGTTTTATCTCAGCTCCTGCCCTCTACTTACAAACCCGTTACTTGTATTTCCATTGACTTTGAATCCATGCTGACCATGGGCACAGCTGGGGTGTTGGTTTGAGTGTAGCTTCATTTTAAGGCAGGATCTAATCTATCCAAATAGGCTGAAGCCCCAGTTACAGAGCTGAAGTGTTGTTATGTACTACTCAAATAGTCAGGGCATTCACAGTTTCCATCAGAATGGATATTTTCTCTACCTTTTTTATTTCATTACATCTAAATGCAGGACTATTGTGTCATTCCACACCCCCCCCCCTTTTATTTACATCTTTTTTTTTTTTTTTTACCTGTAGAAAACTTGAATTTCCTAATTTCCTTAATGAAAAATAACTCCTGGTTGATACCCCTGGTCCCAACCATTTCACCAGACTCAAAACTTTAATAAACTTTAAAAAAAAACAATTTTGACAGTAACAAATCAAGACATTTCTTTTGTGTATTTTTTGTTATAAAATTTTGGTAATTCTACCTGCTGTGAGATACATTTATATTCTAAAAGCTGAAGAAACAATGATTTTAGAATATAAATGAAGGATTTACTAAGGTTATTTTGATGAGGTGAAAGTCCTTTTGTTTTGATAAGATTCAGAAATTCATCTCATTAAACTCTAATTTTGCTGTTTCACATGAATAAAAATAATATCAAGATAAAGTGTCTAAGTCTTCAGATGAAGTGCTACAGTTTTTCCTAATTATTTCTGGTTGAAAAGCTTTATTAAACCAGACTGGTTCATAAAAGTTGTTTTGATTTTTTTTTTTCCAAATCTGCTTTTTTTTTTTTTTTCAGTGGAAAAGCTTTCCTTGTGAAACTTTTCACAATTTCCATTTTAATGGCTGTCCAGGCTCTTACCATCTTCAAAAACAAACAAGAAAACAGCAGTGTAAAGAAACAGCAACAGACAGGTAAAGGGTTCAATGTAAGCCCATAAATCTCTTATTATATACATTGTATTTGTTGCTAATAATACATTTTACTGGTCACAAATGATAGAACAAGGACTATTAAAGTTAAAAGGAAACTATTATGCAGATGAAGGGAGAAGCATCCTTTTAATATCATACTGAAGGTGTTCAATTATTGTTATTAAAATGGGCGAAGTTGTTGCTTTAAATTAACCCTGTGAGGTTACGGTCTTTCCTTAATTTCTGCCCACATGAAAACACTGGACCTGAGGAAGGTTCTGAAAGCCTCCTCTTTGCACCAGCACATGAGGAAGAGAGAGTATCAGAGGAGGCATCTCTATGATGGTCAAGTGGTGAGTCCTTCACAGTTGCAACAGACTGACCAAATAACCTAGCAAGGAAACCCTGCCTATTCAGATGTGGTAAAACAGAGCATTTCTAGCAGTCACCCACACCTTTCTCATTAAAGTAGGTGCCACCAGCCTCCATCACAAATCCAGTGTTCTGGTTTCATCCATGCCATTTGGCAATCAAAGCAGGTGACCAGTCATCTAAAGCCACAGGGAAAAGTCTGTTGACAAACCTTTGGAGACGAAAATTACAAAAAAAAAAAAAAAAAATAATAATAATAAAAAAAAATCTAAATTGCACATTTTGAAATTGAATTAGTTTATAATTATGTAAATTATGTAAATAAATGTATGAAAATAATTTTTAATTACTTGTGTTCCACTGCTGTACTGCCTTATCTCAGTTTCACGTCTCCTTCCATTTCTACCACATTTCCATTCCCCTCTCTGGCCATTTTCCCTGTGGCTTTAACTATTCCTCCAGTGAGACTTCAAGAGACGATGGTTTCAGACACACGGCTGGGCCACACCGTGGTGGTGACATAAAGCTGTTTTTCCAGATTGCAGCCTGCTACTGACCTACACAGAATGGTCCCTCCTGGCTTCCTCACCCTATTTTCAGGATGTTTGCAGTTGGAAGGGTACAACTGTTAATTGGAAATTAGGGCATGAGGGCGGAGGCTCCTAAAACATAATTACAAAGCACCATGCTGTGTCCCAGCACTGCCATGGGAAAGCAGCTTGTAATTTTAATTTCAGGGCTGTGATGGCTTCTCTGCCAACTGTCTCACCGCCCTCAAGCAATTGCGAAGGAGCTGCTCCCTGTACCCAGTGGAAGATGTCTGCACCGCCTGTGCCTGCTGTGGCTTCACCCAGGAGGCTTGGAGCAGCCCAGCCCTAGCCCGAGGTGTATTTTCTGCCCAAGAGCTGATACTGGATGTCTCATCACCAGTGTCTCAGCCCAGCATTTTGTGCCGATTCAGCTTTACAGGACTGTGCAGTGTATTTCTTAATCTGTTGTGTCAGTAGGCATAAACTGGCTGCCCCAAAGCTGAAACAGAGGCTTTCTTCTTTTGCCTGGATTAACTGTTTCATGATGAGTTTAACTTTAGTACAAATAGATATTATAAATGCCTAGTATTTGCATCTACATGGTACTCTGCCAGTCCCAAAGCGTGATAGGAATTGGTATTTGAGGGGTACCAATTCATATTTTTTTCTTACATGAGGTGAACTACAGTGGTACTTACAATAGCAGTGAGGGGAGGAGGAAGCACGATGATGAAGCTCTATAGGAAGGACGCAAGACTCCCTTTTTGGAAAGCCCCTGCACTTTAGTTCTTCAATTAATCCACTAATTTTTATCACCAAGTCAGCCTACACCTTCATTTTATTAATACAGACTAAGAGAAGCTTCACACTGTAAGAATATTATGTTTAGAGATGCCAACATCTGCAGAGCTACAGCGAGGCTTAAATCAAACTTTTAGTGGCAAGAGTGTATGGCAGCAGCACTGTAATTATTTGGCATTTGTCTGCAGTGCCTCCCTGCCTTCAAAACACTTTTCACAGGCTGTCAACAAGTCTTTGTGTTTGTGTTTGGCTTGGCAGTGACTCTCAAAACTGGGCGAGTAAGTGAGGAGGAGCCCGTGCACAAGCCCAGTCGTATGCAGCTTTGCTCAGTCTTCTGTGATCTCTCATCTGATAACCTTCAAAGCCCTGCCTTTCCCTGCATTTCACTCACTGTTTGTACATTATCACTACTGACTTAAAAGAAAGGATCTCTTCAGATTACATTAGCTGTACTACTGTTTCTAATAGCAGAACAGCTCCTATATTTACAACAGCAGAACACTGGTCTTGGGCAAATAGATTATTCACTTAAATAAACAAATCAGATCTCAGCTTGACTTTAAACTCTCAGGTTTGTCATTTGTGAATATATTCATCCACTAAAAAATGAAATAACTAAAATGTTGTATCTATACTTTTGAAATAAAGCTATTTAATTTCAAGATTTGATTATTTTAAAATCTGAAAAAAAAAAAAAAAAAAAAAAAAAAAAAAAAAAGATTGCACTGGCAAAAGGAAGCTGAAATAAATATTTTGGTTTGGGCTGAACTAAAGCTCATGTAGTAGCCAAGCAAAAAGAAACCAAAAAATGTCCCGAAAAAAAAACCCTATCATTTAGGTGAACAACATGAAACTTCTGGATTTTGTATGAGGTAAGCTACATATAAACACAGTCCAAAGTGGGACTGTTTTGATAACACTGAGATTGCTGAATATCAATCCCCATTTCCAGTATTAATCCACCCTAGTAACCCACCTGTAGCATTATTTAATACTTCAGAACAAAGCATCCTTTCCCAAAACAGGCACTGTATAAGATCTGCATGTGATCTCTATATTACTCTATGCAAAATAATGTTTATATATAGGAGGGGATAGCCCACTATGCTGCCTGAAGCGATCTTTCCTCCTCGGAGATATTTTGGTTTGGTTGCTTCATGTTACTTACACTCCCATTGCAATCTTGGAGTTGTATTGCCAAGAAGAGGTGGAAATGTGTGTGGAGAAGAACCCCCCCTGCTCTCTTTGAACTTCTGGAGGACCCATCCTTGCCAGCACCATGGTTCCCAAGGGCCCTGGAGGCTTTGGGAGGTGAAGGCAGAGCATGTCCTTTCAAGTCCACCCCTGCAAAAGGCGTGCGGGCAAATAGTTCCCTTGTCCTTATTTGTCTTAACCGAACAGATGGAGACCTGTGTAAGTTTGTTTTCACCTCATTCTTCACAATATTTTTTTTTTCAAAGCTCCCTCATGCTGGCCTAGCTGCTGTTTAACCACACACATTCACAGAGGGGAGCAAAGCTCCCCACCAGCCTGCTGGTGCTGGTGGCTGCTCCTCACCTGGCCACTTTGTGACCAGTTCTCAGTAACTGTGCTCTAGACTGGGCAGGGAAAAGGAGAAACCCAGGGGCCTGCCCGGGGCACTGCTCTGAATTACAGCAATCACGCAGAGCAGCAGCCTGAGCAGGGAGCAGCAGTCATGACAGGGACACAGATGTCAAAGGCTGCGTGCGGCCTGGGGAAGGGTGTGTTGAAGGGGCTGGAACAGACAAAACGGGACATCTTGCTGCCAAAGCAAGAGTTTCTACTTGAGAAGAGCTCAGGGCCAGAGGCACTGCCCCAGGGTGAGGCCTGGATATAGTCACAGGCCCTGTCAGCAGGAGAGGAGCTCTTGTCACCTGGCTTGTGGTACCTGTCAGCTGCAAGGCGGGGGCCTGCTCCCAGTGCAGCCTCCTCGGAAAGCAGTGGATGTCAAGTAGAGCTCAACAGACAGCGAACAAGGAGATAAGAAATTTTCTCTGACAGCCAGGGACAGCACTCCTCCGTGACTCAGATGGTCCCTTACCTGTGCTGTGACTCAGAAATTGTGTGCGATTATGAAGATAAATAGGTGCATCTGTTCCCTGTCTTTTTCCATGTATTATACATGGGAGTATTTTATTTAAGCAGGAAAGAGAGAGGGTTAGGGCATAAAACCTAGCTGTATTAATACTAGATAGGAGTGTGGTAAGCAGGGGTGTGCTTGCCAGGACCCGGTGTGGTAAAACTGGGGCAGCACACCAAGGAGCAGGAAAGCCTTGCAGAACTGAGGTGAGAAAATTTCTGCATGAAGAGAAAGAGAATAAAAATCTCAAAATAACAGTGCAAGCTGAAATGTCTTTATATACCTCACACTGAGGTCAATTTTAGACAAACTGCTGATATATATGTATATATGTGTAAGTCTTTATGTAATATTTTTCCTTACCTAGTTCCTTTCTAAGAAATTGGGAGCTGGGGATGTAACCCAGGCCAACAACTGTTAATTGAGTGAATTTCCTTCTTCTGGCTTTACACTATTCTCCAGAAAAATCCTTTAAGCAACAGCTCTCTCTCTGCTTGAAGCACATGTGAACGGTAAAGGGCTATTTAGAGTGATCTATGATGGGTTCTCCATGGATATCTAATATAATTTCTGTTCAGCATAATAGGCTCATTAGAGTAGGCTTGTGCAAAACTGTTGTTACAGAAAAACAGATGGCTCAGTCAAACAGGAGCTCAAGTAAAAGGATGTGCCTTAAAGCTGTCCAGGAAAGGATGTTTTGATCCAATCTTACTACATTTATCATAAGCAGTAAGGCTATTTTGAAAGATGTTCCTAGAAATTCACACCCAAAAGTCATGTGCAAAATTCTGTGATGCATCCACATTTTCACATTTTACATTATTATGTAAAAATCACTACACCATTTCACATGCAGGAAATCTGTGGAGCTAACCAGTGTGTATAAACAGGCATATGGGCCCAAATCCCTAAGTACTTAAGGAACCATCTATGTAAACAGCTCTGATGACCCTACCAAAACCATCTGTAACCTTATCTGTGCTTTTCCAGATTATGGCACTTGGCAATGAAAAATTTAGGACATAAAATTTAGACCTAGTCATTATTACAGAGCTGCACCCAAATAGTTTGTTGTTGTTGTTGTTTGCTTTTATTGTTTATTTGTTTATTTTTGAATCGCAAGTCTCTAGCAATAGCAATATTTTGACAGTGGGAAAAAGTCAAGTAAAAATCCATATGACTTGTTCCCTCTTTCTCCATTATTAGCTATGTAGCAGTCTTTTAATTCTTTTTTTCTTAGTCGACTTTCCACTACAACTCTGAAGTAACTCTTTGGTAGTTCATTTCAATACCCCTCAAGCAAGATAGTTTGATTCCTACTTCCTGACAGAGTGTAAAAATAGGTTAATTCTCTTCTCCCTTATCACAAGCTTAATTGTTTCAATCTTTTCTTAAAATTACTCATCTTCAGAGAACAGAGAAGTCCATTGAATATAAAAGCATACAAGCAAGGATTCCAAGAAACTGCATTATAATAAACAATAATTGTACAGCTGAGATGTGCCAAAAGGGAAGATCCATCTTTTTCCTGTGACCATGCTGTGTCTTAACAAAGTGTCATGCAACTGGGATACAGATATTGCTTATCTTTGCACAGATTGAATTGTCCTTTTTTTTTTTTTTTTTTTTTTTCTGTAATTGTGGCTCCTTACCTCATATGGACTACGGTCCTACTCCAGAAGTAAAGAGAGTTGCTGAAATCAATGGAGCTACCCACAGAGATGATATTGATTCTGAGCACATGTAGGAAAAAGTGTTTGCTCTTCAAGAATGAAATGTCAGCTTCAAGAAAATCAATAATGGATTTACAAGTGATGTCAATGGGGTCAAAATTTCACTCATAGCATTAGTTCATACAGCAAAATATGCACAACTTTAATACAGTTGCAAACTAGATTACATTTGAATTATTGATTAGGCAGGCTACATTACAGGACAACATGGCAGGTGCCTGAAAAATGCATAGTGAAAGATGGAAATATTTGCAAAGGGAATTGGAAAGACCAAGGCATCAACATGTTACACAAGCCCTGGCAGAAACCCCAGAAATTAAATTCAGAATATTAACTTACCGATAGAAGGATTCATTTATTTCTTCTGCTTTGGTTTGTACCAGTAAGGCCGCTTAACAATCTGTTTGTTCTCAGCACATTCTTTCTTTTGTTTTTCAGTAATATACTTGAATTATGCAATGCATTTGTTGGAGGATGTTCCCCAATACTTTGTTGTTGTAGCAGACCTCATGTTCTCAAAAGCCAAATCCTGCAGATATCCGTTCTTACCTGGTATCTCTTTAGCATTGCCATTGGGCACAAAGAAACTTTAAGTCTTATTTTGTTTCTTTTAGTCATTAAGTTTTCGTCAAAGAACCGTAGAATTGCAGAATGGTTTGGGTTGGCAGGGACCTTGAAGACCATCCAGTTCCAACCCCTTGCCGTGGGCAGGGACACCTCCCACCAGACCAGGTTGGCCAAGGCCACATCCAGCCTGGCCTTGAGCACTTCCAGGGATGGGGCATCCACAGCTTCTCCGGGCAGCTTGTGCCAGTGCCTCACCACCCTAAGAGTAAATGATTTCTGCCTTATGTCTAACCTAAACCTACCCTCTTTTAAAGCCATTACACCTTGTCCTATCACCCCACTCCCCGGCAAAGAGTCCCTCCCTGTAGGTCCCTTTAGGCAAGGGATTCATCACCTTTTCAGTTAAAACATTGCATTTTGCATTCTGCTTTTGCCATGCTGTCTTGAGTAGCTGGTTGCCCTGTTGTGGCAGGGGAGCATTGGACAGGGTGCTAGATAATCCTGGTCTAGACTCCCTTTTCCCATGGCATCTTGGAAATGATGGTGTTTTTGATGTCCCTTCCAACCTGGGTTGTTCTATGACTGGAAACAAGCTACCTTAAGTATGGACACTCAAGCTCTGGCACCTGAGATGCTTCTGTGTGTTGGATACCTGCCTGCTGGCCTTCCTTTAGAGAAGCCTTTCCCTGTGTGACATGGGGGCTCATGGAGAGGAGCTGGGCTGGGCTCCCTGTGGCTGTGCTGGGGTCAGCGATGCCACTTCACCTCTCCTCCCTCCCAGGAAGGGGAAGGCGGCAGCAAGGAATGGGTACCGGGGCTGTGTCCTGCAATGCCACCACCACCAGCCCTGATGCTGCTCTCTTCTGTGCACCTTTCCACCTCCAGATGTTGGGTCACCATTCAGATAATGGCAGAGAGACTGCAAATACAGTCAGTGGTTGCTTGAGTTCCCCTTTGCGTCCTCAAGGGATTTACACATCCATTGGAGCAAAAGCATGGAGCAGGACCACACCAGCTTCCTATTTGGTGAGCCTGGTTGTCCTCCTTGTGAAAGCGAGCTGTAACACACTGCAATGCACAACCATGCAGATGGCTACTTGAGTCCACGTGGACCATAAGCTCAACAGAGCAAGTTCAGTATTCATGTAGATGTGAACGAGGTCCCAGGATGTGGTCCACTGAAGAACAGTACAAGCTGTTTTGATGTTATATTTGTAAATTTCTCTCACCCTTTAAATCCAGACAACACACCCATATGCTCCAACATGGTGCCTTAGAAGAGAATACTCTGGGGTCTTCACACTTCCCTGCTCTTGATAGAGAACAAAATCTAAGACTCAGTTTTGAAACAATACACAGATACGATCATTTATTAGGTATTATAAGCAGAATGAAAAGAGTTACGATTTTTTTTTTCCCTAAACAGATAACATTACATAAAAAATTGCAAGCCATTTTATACAAATTGCTTTTCCATGTGTGTTTATTTTATTTTCATTTACTTCCGACTAGGAAATAGCTTCTTAATGCATTTGCAAGTTCTTGTCTAGCCAGTCCCTGTTGCATAGACACTCCACATCGGCCTGATACAATTCTCATGTTTATTGATCTAAGTTAGAAGTCAATCTATAAAAGTGAAAGGGATTAACTGTTTCAAAAAAAAAAAAAAAAAAAAAAAAAAAAAGTTAAGGCCTGTTTCTTTATTAATTTTAGCTACTCAGAGGTTTTATTAAAAAAATGTTCCTACCTCTCGTTCTTTGCAGTAAAGAATACTTGGCAAGGCTCTTTTCATAGAGTACAGATTGTTTAAAAATTGCAGATATATTACAAGATAATAATCAACTCTGTTTAAGGATTTCAGTGGGACTCCTTTTTACACACAATAGAATTATCCCTTTTTTCATGTAAGAGAAGAAAAAGAACATTATAAAGCCAGGGTTTGCAATGCAGAAACCAATAGTGTTGAGTATACTTCATTGCTTGCAATATTCCCAGCTCTGAAGCACTGTAGAGCATAAGATACCAAAGAGTGTTTCATGAAGATTTCTCTCACTGAAAGTCTTACTGTGAGATGGTAGGGGGTATTTACACATTTTACAGGACGTACTTTCCAATTTTAGAATATTTAAAACAAGCAAATTAATTTAAAAGGGCGTTTTGACCAAAGTTTGATACCTAGATCCACACTGCTCCAAGTCCACTCCTGTGAGCGAAATGCTGAGGGGAGTCATACCTTTGTTTAACTCCTTCCTGACCCTCTTATGCTGTATAAAACAACTGGAACAGTAAAACAGAGCTTTTTAAAGATAGATGTTGATACAGCCAATTAAAGGGACAGAGGCCCATGGAGAAAGCCAAACCAGGAGCCTCTTCAAACCAGGTCTGTAGGTTGCAAGGATGGCTGGAAATCCCCTCTGCCTGCTCTGTGCTGGCTGCAGCAATGGCATCCCAGGATTTTTAAGGGTGTTTGGATTACTAATGGTCCTTGTCTACTCTTACTGATACTCAGTAATAAAATCCTACACTCCAAATAGATGGGTGGAAGTCTGGGTGATGGCTTTGGTAGGGGTGGTTCTCTTGCCCTTTTCTTACTGTAGCCCTATGGCTTAAGTTGAATGAGTAGAAAATTGGAAGCAAAGCCATGAAGTCCTGGCTGACTGATTTGCTGCTCTGGCAGTCAGTGGATAAAGGCATTTGGCTTTCTGAAAATGCACAAAATCTTCAGGTTAAAGAAAACTAACACACATGAAGTGGGACTTCTGCAAGCCACTTCCCTTCAGAAAGATGATATACATTTTTTGTTGTCATTGTCTGCTGATAACTTCTTTTCTGAATTTAATTAGAAATATGAAGGCACATAAAATTTAATAAAATCCATATGCACCCCCACTCATCAGAATGAATGAGGAAACGCAAGTTTTTTTTAACATTTAGACTTAACCTAAGCAACCGACATCAGATATGAAGGTCCACAAAAGAGTAGATAACTTTATTGTAAAATGCCAGTACTGTTTTTCTACATGTATTGTAAAGTTTCCAGACTTTCCTACTAGCATCTGATGACAATATTCTGAAAAACATAGATAGCCTGTCAGATATCTCTGGAATATGAATGCATTTTTCCTGGTGTTTACGGGGAAGAGTAAAAATATGTGGGCTTCACATTACCCAAGATTTGGTCTTCATAGTTAGGAAGGCAGCAGAAGAAGAATCCCAAGCATATTTCCATAATGGCAGTGGTCCAGCCAAAGCCGTAAGCCCAGCTGAACATATTGATTCCTGTCATTTCAATTTCACTGGAGAACTTTACTGGGTAAATGACCAAGCCCATGATGGAGAACACAGCTGAAGAAACAGGAGAAAACAAAACAAAACAAAAAAAAGGATTAAACTAACACTCATCACATTGCCCGTCTCCATAATACCTGTAGCTAAATCCAACCATATTTTGGAGGATTTGGAAATAGATCCACTGCCATGACAGATTTTACATTCTTTTTCACTGAGAGTTCAGGTGCATACAGGCATAGAACCAAGTATAAAAGCAGCTGGGAGAAACGCCAGTTCTAGTATGGATATTCCTGCACAAGTTAAACTTCACATATTTTCTTACCAGCCACAAAAAGCAAGCCTCCAATCCCTCTTATGAAGTTGAACCGAAGCGTATCAATGGCAAATGCTATGATGGCCAGAGCAAAACAGATGACGAGGAGTATAAATCCAACAAGGTATGTGGCGGCTGCAGCTCTTCCCCAAGCTGAAATCAGAAGGAAGGCAAATTAGAAAAAAAAAAAAAAAAATTTCTCTGGTTTATAGTGAACGGCTAATTTTAAACAACCATGGAAAGAAGGTCATCTCTCAAGAAGAAAAGCAGGCAGCTCTCTTTCCTCTTGTAGCTAAGCATCTGAATGCCACCAGAAATCATTCATTAAGTGCAGAGTGTGTAAGGACACCAGCTTAGACCTCTCCTACAGAATGCAATGGGACTTGCATACATGCTTCCTGTTTAGGTTTAACAATTAAGAATCAAGAGAAAAAGTGACTCTAAAGATTTAACAGTGGACACTCTACTTCACTAACAAACGTCAGCAGATGCTGTAAAACCAGCAGCATTCTGCATGGGCAAGGAGAACTGGACTATCCCTGAAACCAATCAAACTCTTCCTTAAACAAAAACAAAACAAAAGTTTGTACAAGCACTACCACTCTGGCATGCAAATGTAAAAATATGACAATACTCCACTAATGTCAAAATTCAGCAATTTCCACTTTTTTATCCTTTGTTTAGCCCTGTGTCCTAAGTGAAACTAAAGATTTGGTGTCTATTCTGCAATGAAATTTGACCTCTCCTTTTGATCCAAAATCAGAAGTGTTTTATTTTGAAAAACTTGTTCAGGATAGTAATACTTTAATTTCCAAATTATGTAACTTTACGTTATAACATGTCAGAGCTAAGCATATTGTGTTGTTATAACAACAGAAAAAATATTATTTATTCAATATTTTAAGTCTTGAGGCACAGTGACTGCTCCAAGAGATCAAAGTGCCTCCTCCTTTCAGTGTAAAAAGCCTGCTTTGACACTTTTAAAATTGTGTGTGTAGATAGAGTAGGCAGTTAAATCTGCTGGGCATTTACAGGCTTTACCTCCTCACCTACACTGTGTGTTTGCAAGGTGTTGGCTTCTAACCAAAGACATAGAGCAACAGTGCTGTAAAATTACCACAGCCCAAACAAGCCTGGTGATAATTAGAACTCAACTCAAACGTGGTGCGCGTTGTTCAGTAAAGGCCTTTTTGCATCGAAGTGCCATCCATCAGCAGCTGGACAGGCACCATCAGACAGACAAACCGGGGGGAGGACACAGTTCACCAAATAGCTTGGATTTATTATGCTTTTCCACACAACCATCGTATATGTTGGTGACCTACGCACTCTATGGCTTGCGTGCCTGTGCAGGTAGAACCAGAAAATGACCTTCATCTCAGCTCCCTTTTCCTGCTGCTGTAGTAGCCCAAGGCTTAAAGGATGGTCACCCATATAAGAGAATTAAAGTAATAAAATGCAAAGCATCCCCAGTGTTGGCGTGAAAGCCCTCTGGGTTCAGCCACTGCTCTGCCTCTGGCTCTTCCCCAGCCCTCTGATATCGGACTAGGAAAATGGGTCAGGATTATGAGTCAGCCTTACTTTTAACCCTTCAGCCCATCAAAACCAATTTCCCTTTCTGTTTACTTTTCACTATCCACCCCTGCTTTTTGACCCTTGATCCAGTCTAACCATTGCACCACACTTTCCATTTTATGTCCTGTCCTTTTTCTTCCTTATGCCAAAGAGTTTCTGTCTCCTTTAGAGGACTTTCCAACTGTATTATTCGTCATGTAAACAGGCATCTTCCTGAGAAAAACTGAAGGGACAGCAAAGATGTGTCTCACCGTCTAGCCCAGTGTTTTAGCCTAGACTCTTCTCTTAAGGAGTTTACAGGAGGCATGGAGATAGAGAATTGTGGAGATGCAGGGTCCAGCATGGGAGGGGAGCACCTCAGCAGGTCTGCCAAGGCCTAGTGTGCCCAGAGGAGCTGGTGGCAGATCACCACCCCTTGGCTGGAAACATCACCCACGAAGGAGCCCAGTGGGTGCCTGATGGCCACAGCCATGTGCGTGGCACCATGCCCCTACTGCCATCTCCATCCTCCTCAGGGCTCGACCAGGTGTTTCTCCCGATGTAGTGTTACAAGTATGGTGACTGTGTGAAAGCAGGTTGGGCGTACGTCCAGCCTGGGTACGCCCAGCCTGCAGGGCACTGGATGCATGGCAAGCAGAGACATGCTTGCTGCAGGATGCTTACATCTTTAGGATGCGTTGCTTAATCACCTAACAGCCGATTTTGTGACACTCGCTTCTAAAAAGAGAAAAAAATGTACCTCAAAGTTGGGAGAAAACCAATGCGCAGCTGCAGTACAGCAATAGGCTTCCATAGGAGAGCCACCACGAGTTTTTTTGAGGAACAGTACCCTGACTTTGCCACCTGTCCTTCACAAAGAGTAGTTTTCAGGAGCCTAAGACCACAGCGTGTAAATGGCTTACATTTCTGGGGTAAAAGATTATGTGGTGATAATTGCAACTGTTTCTGTATCTGAGGTATTAATTTTTGCTTGTGCCAGAATAACTAGAGTAGCTTAGCGGCCTTACAAATATGACTAGTACTTACAATTCCTCAAAAAGGTCAGAATTAGAAGAATTAGAAGAATTAAATGGGTCAGAAAACAGAGGGAGAATGTATAACCTCAGCCATTACAACTGCAAATGTCTTCTGCACCTCTAGAACAGATTCTCAAAGGCTTGGCGCAAATGCAGAGTCCCTGCGATGTTAAGCAGCAACGCCCTTCCCACCAGGCTCTTTCTCCACAGGCTGCAAAATACTTTGTTGAAAGTACCATTTCAGAATAGGTGTTTTATTGGGAAACACTTTTGAATGGTTTTAGGAAATTTTTTAGTTGCAACCAAGTGGCTAAGCTGATCCCAAATATTTTATTTTCCTTTTTTTTTTTTCTTTTTTTTTTTTCTCTTTAATATAAAGCAAACATTATAGCATAATTATTTTTTTTTCTAATTGCAAAGTTTTTTCATAACAATTAAAAAAGCAATGCAGTCCAAAGAATGTAACACCATGGCTGGTGCAACACCAACTCAACGAACACTTGGCTCTAGAGAGAAGCAGCTGGAAGTTCTCCCATCATAAAATGAGAAATAGGGATGCAGGGAGCAGCAGCTTGCAGGACATCAAGCTGAGTCTGTAAAAATACACAGCAATTTGTGAGATCTGTTTTCTCAGTCCCCGCACATGGCAGTGATGTTTTGGCTGTTTAATAGTTAAAATCTGCTTGTTAGAAAAGAAATATGTGTTTATGCAAGAGTGTCCTGGAATACCAGCAGGATCCTGTAACACTGCATGTCAGTCCTACTTCTCCCTTTTCACCTCCTCTGTCAGCTGAAAAAAAGCCCATCAACAAGCACTGTGAGAGGCTTTGCAGGAAGCTACACACCACCCTCCCTTCAACTCCTTTTAGCTGGCAATTTTCTGAGTGACTTTATCTTAAGCAAAAACCTTACAGCAAGACCTTGCTATCTCACACAGGCAAAAATTTCATGCCTATCTTAAGCAGAGCACAGAGTGCTTCTATTTACAGTGTCTTGTGCAGAAGTCAGCGATGACTTGTAGTCAGCGAGCCCAGACTACCCACTGTGATTGCAGCCATATGGGACTACTGGAAAGTGCAAATAAGTGCCTGCCTTCTGAAACCCACTGCCATGTGAGGAGACCCAGAGCTAATTTAGAGAACAGAAAGAGTCTACCCATACCCTTGCAGAGCTCACTGTAGCTTCTGAGCAAGGTAATTAGCTGACAGTGTACAATAATAACAGCTTTATTACTGTGCTATTAAAGCTAAGTTAGTTTGGAGGTAGCATGACTACCTCTTGTATTGCTCCATCTGAACACATTCTGAACATCCTCTTGCTGACTGCAGCCATATGGAAGCTGATTGGCTTTATTAGAAACCCAGGACTAAGAATATCTCCGATTTCCTGCCTTCCTGATTTTACTCCCTCATGCATTCTCCAGTTTGCAAAAGTGCAAGCACCGCTTGTGCTTCACACACAAGGAGGCAAACTTCCTTGCACAGCAGTAAGCTGAGTCAGTGGTGTATGTGGTTCAAAACACAGAAACGTTCACAGTGATCTTCTCATGCCTTTCTTGCTGAGGTACCCCCAAACCACATGAACTCTGGAGTGTCTCCGAGTCATATTTTCTGAAAGAAACACCAGAGTTCAGGAGTCCTTCTGCTCTAATCAATAAGAATATGCTTCATCAAATTTTCCTCCTGTCTTGAAGTTGACACACAACTAGCATTGGAAAGAAAAATAAATGGTTGTTGACAGCTCACAGGCATCAACAAATTATCTATGCCTTTTCACCAGCTGATCATTTTATCACATCAGCCACTGCAGCAAATTGTGCAGCAATTTTAAGGAGAGTTTCAATATAGAAAGGGGGGAAATGCAGAACTGTCTTGGAAAGACGATAATGTTTACTTTGTTATCCCTCATACCAACAAGGGAGACAAACACAAATCCTGCTGTTCTAGCTCCAGTCTTACATAGCAATTCTTACAAGAGCTGAAATCTGCCTTGGTGGTGATTCATCTCTGTGTTGTACGTAATGAGCATGTTTCTAGACTGAGTTTGCAGAGCTCAACCTGTTTTATGACTCTCTGATTAAAGGGAAAGAGCATTATTTTGGAAACAAAGCTGAACTCAGATTTCTCAACCTGACGTTCTTCACCAGGGTGTGGCACACTCTGCAGAGCACACAATTCGCTATGAAAAGGAACTGCTTTAGCCAGGTTTTATCCATTTCATTTTGTTTTGTTCTCACCGAGAACATTTCCATGTGAAAGCAAAAATGTCTGTAGAAAAACATGTCTGCAGCTTTGAATTTGTGCATGCGTTTACAGTAAGACTCCTTGATTTGTATCCTTTGGAAAGAAATTAAATTGAAGGTGGTTTTCCTAATTTATATCCCCTTAGCTTGCATTTTACGTGGACCCATCAAACTCATTAACCCTAAGCTTGTTTTATCAGCTGAAAGGTTACAAACTGCTGGTGTATATATAAGCCACTGATATCCAGGACTCAAGGTAAGTGGCATGGTCAGGATTTCCTTTTAACGCTGGACAGGGCAAAATCTTGTCTTCTGAAAAT